TGGTAACCTCAGGCTTGCTTTTCAGTAACAAATATGTCTCCCCTTAAAATGTTATACATACTACACAGTCTCTGCACAATTATTGGGAAAAGTTTAAAATATTTGCAAAAATGCATCTTTAACAAGAAACCAGCTTTACTACAATTCCTATCATCAGAATTAATGACAAACAGGAGGGGAGAGTTCAGCTGCAGAAACATAATTACCATGTTGATAGCTGACCCTTCAAAAGCAACACAAAACTAATGTGTATTCATAACAGTCAAGCACAAAGAGCCAAGGTCAGAGAATAAGATATTCCACAGACACCTACACAAAGAAACACTGATTTTAAAGTGGTTAATATGCACTTTGATGGCATGAGCCTTTCAGTGTTGTGAAACAATGTACAAAAAAAACAAAACACGTGTGGTGATCTTCACAGTAACCCTGACCTTTCCTTTAAGATGAGGATCCAAAAATTAACAAACCTGAGGCATTTACATTGTCCTTCTTCTCGAATCCAGAACAATCGCATCGGGGCCACAGCCCCAGCACATGGTGCCACCAACTGAGCCAGCCAGCGGCCCTCTTAGCTGCTTTTAGCTGTTTGTCTTGATTGAAGGTCGTCCTGACTTGTGCCCTTTTAAATCAGAAGCTCCTGTTATCAAGTGGCAACAGACAATGCTTTGTTTACAGAGGTAAAGTTTTCCTTTTCATTGCTCCATTTGTATCTGGGTTTGGATTTCACCTGCTACTGCTATATTTTTACCTTAATCCTTCCAAAATTTGCTGGGAGCGTACACTTTCAGGGCAAACCTTTATTTAAAATTGAAATTTTCGTCTTGACTTTGTGTTTCTGGGGTTTAGCAGAGATATGTGCCGTTTATTTATTTATTTATTTATTTATTTTTTTGCCTCTAAGGTCTTGTTTCAGAAAGTGGGATTAACAAGCTCTGACTAGAAGGCAGATACTCTGAATAAATCTACTCAAGATTTTAGGTTTCAGAACAAGAGATATCAACAAAGTAACTTGATTCTGAGTCAAGCTACCTCTGAGGTAAATGTGAGCGGGAAAATACAAAATGTCCTCATCAATGGAAGAATGCGATTCACCATGGCAATGGGAGAAAAAAAGAAGCCTCAAAGTCCACATTTCTTGCTGATGAAAGTACTGATGCTAATGATGGCATATGGAGAATATCAAAACATATTTATTAGAAAAAATACTATTGGAAAAAGTAACTACAAAGGACAGTTGCAATAGGTTTTAAGAGTCCAATTAAATATTTATGGGGTTATTTTTAAAGAGAGGGTTGAAGAACAGCATCTTATAGGTATTTTTAAGTGTTTTGACGGGGAGGGATGCTGAGACGTTTTAAACACTTTTTTTCTGTTTAATTTTTACATTTAAGGATTTGATTCTGCATAAATCAGTCATGTTGATGTTCTCTGTGTATATTTTAACATTTGGTCTGAAGTTGTGTGCAGAATGAGGAGAGACTATTTTGACTGAGCAGAAACAGTGGCAGATGTTATTCAGACATCCTGACACATTCTGTGTATTCAGCAGGATTGACAACGCAGGCTTTTACAAAATCTGTTTCTCTTGTTGGGCTGTGACTCAGACCCCTGAACTCCCCAAAGGCCTGAATTAATAAGGGAAAGCAGCACCTGTACAAGAATGCCAGAGCACATTAAGGTTGTAGCCCAATCCCAGTAAGCAACAGTGAGGGTTGCAGTCTGCTTCAATGAAGACAACTCGAATTGGGGGAACTGGAGAGTAAATAGAGGTGGGGAGGGAGCAGACTTTGAAAGAATCAAACTGATAGCATTATACATTTTGTGCAAACACCACATGTGATCAAAGTACAATGCAAATAATAGAAAATTCAGAGCAACAACATAAAAAAATTCCCCTCTCACCCTCTGTGGGTGGTCTCTCTTTCATCCTGTGAGCT